AAATTCTGATGTTGACATGCAAGGTTATTTTTTCTATAAAGAATGTCTGCATCTGCAAGCCATGCATTTTTGGCTGAAAACTCAGAATTTCAGGCCCATTCTTCATCAATGTTTAAGAACAGTTTATTTAGCTTTTCATTATTCCCACTTCATTTTCTCCCCAAAACACTCTCTTACTCCTCTTTATACAAAACAAAATGTGAAAAACTGGTCACCTCAATCCCATCATCTTGAAGGAGAGAAAACAAACAACCAATCTGAAAAACAAAAGACAGGCCTCATTTCTAGCCATGAGTTCTAACTACTAGCAAACTCTTTTTTTTTTCCAGTACATAGCAATGGAAGAACAAAGTGATAAATAGGCTGTTTTGAACTCTGACCATCATCAGCTGGTCATAATGTGCAGTGTCTATGTGATATGGGACCAAATGGAAGCAGGGCCAAACACTAAACGCGTGGAAGAACATAGGAGTTGAAATCCACCCAGCCAAGGGCAAAACCATTTATATGAGAAGCTACCTCTCCTATACCATGGACCTCAACCTTGTCCCAGCCACAGGGGCAGCTGCTGAACTTGGTCTAATTTCAGTTTTAACACTAACGCAGATAAACCTTTTGCATGCTGTGGCTCTCAACAACTTCAAGCCTTCCTATCCACAAGCTCCAAAGAGGACTTTCATCTGTGCCCTTGACTGCAACTTCTTTCAATGAGGGCACAAACATCCTACTGGGCACATCTACACAAGATGCTTAATGCATACTAGACTATGTTTGCGCATTAGCACAGCTGGCAAAAAAACATGCTAATGCACTAATGCACAGTAGACTTTGTCTAATGCACACTAATGTCACCAAAAAAGCATTCATATGTGCTACTGCAGTAGCTCCAGTTATGGTGCATTTAGCACCTGTCGTTACAAGGCACTTTTACCTGTGCTTGGGGGGGGCGGGGCCGAGTGGGGGAGTGTTTTAATTAAAGTGGCTCTAATTAAAGCACCTCGACATCTCATATATCAGTATCCCCAGGCTTAAAAATGGCAATGGGGACATTTGAACTGAAGTTCATAGAATGAGCTTTAGTTTAAGCCCCCGGCCCCCTGTTTAAGAGCAGGGACACTGATACAGGAGAGGAACACAGGCAGCAGGAACACAGTAATTGCCAGACTCCACCACTGGATGAATCGAGTCTGCTCCCACCGGCTGCAATTCCAGGGCATTGGAGCAGCCTCCGGGTTCATGTATAGGCGTTCACAGGTACTAAACTTAATGCACGTTAATTACAGCGCACTAATGAACGTGTAGATGGCCCGTCCATTTACCCGTCTTCCCTTCCTGGCAGGGGGCCACCATTAGCAACTTCAGCTCTGAGATCTCAGAATAGGGTTTGACACCTGGCAAACGAGTCGCCCCCGGGCCCCTCCAAACCCAGCGGGCACGCCTCTAGCTCGGCTTCTCCAGCCAATTAGGCAGCAGCAACCCGCAGGAGGCGAAGGGAGCAGCGCAGAGGGCAAGGCGCAGGAGCGATCCCTGCCAGGAGAGCTCCGCTCGCTGCGGGCAAAGCTGCTGCGGCTGCGGCTGTTGCTGTTGCTGCCGCCCCGGAGCTGCAGATCTGCCTCCTCCGGCTGGTTAGGTGACTAAGTGCACTGGAGTCCACACTCCCAGCCCGGCTTTCCACCGAGGGCTTAGGAGGGACAAACCAGAAGCTGCGTCTCAGCCCAGCTGGGTGGGTACCGGAGCGGGCAGAACACACACGTGGGGATCTCCGCTTTTCCTGTAGCCTGGTCCTAATAGCACTGGAGATCTCAGATCTGCCTTTCTGCTTACGGAAAGTTTCCTGATGGTGGGGAAGTGGCAGGGCTCAGATAAGCAGGCACCAGGAGCAGGTACTTCGAGGAAGTCAAACATCAGGGCTGGGGAAAAAAAACTAGCCCCAGCTTTGAACGTGGCTCAGGAGACACTTGCGAGGAACCCGTGACAAGTGCGGTCCCTTCGTCCCTTTCTGCTGATCGCAGGCGGGGGGTCGAGACACTTGCAGGGGAGCTGGTATCTCACCGTCTGCGCTGAGAGGCATTTGACAACTACATCGACAGCCGCCTCTTTCTTGAGAGGCACGGCCCTGGTGGTATTAAAATGTGCCAACCCCACCACAAATCTCATGGGGAGAAAGGGGGAGGAAGTTGAGATGGCGGCTCACCGCACCAATCAAAAAAAGCATCAGCCCTATAAAGTGAATGAATTTTGAAATAGCAACCTCAACTCAAATTCTCCACTTGTGCCTGAGTTTTGCACACATCGATTCCCCACTTTTAGAGGGACAGAAAATTAAGAGATCGGTGGCTTGAGTTTTTGCTTTGCCGGGGCGGGTTTGGGTTGGCTTGGCTAAAACGGGGTTGCTTTGGTTGGGTTTCTTTCTCCGTTCAAAGATTGCTCCCATTCTAAAACGGAGGTTCACAGATCATGAATCTGCAGGGCTGGCTGGCACCGCTGGGTTTTTGGGCTGTGACCAAAATGTGACCATTGTGTTCTGTCGTTCAAGAAAACCCACGCTTCACCGATACAATCGTGGGAATCATCCCTGTAGTCGGGTCCGGTAGTCTGCCCTGTACTGCTCTAGACCCCGGGAGCTCCTTTCTCCCTCAATTGCCCACAAACAATCAGTGGGTGGAAGATGCGCTGCCCCGCTCCTTGCAGTGTACGCCGGGCTCCCCGTGCAGTGCTACCCAGATGTGAGGGACTTCCCCCCAGCCGCAGCAAGCGTCCGATTTAAACCCAGGTCCCGCTGCTCCCAATGAGGTTAATGGCAAAAATCACTGGGAAGAACATCGGGATCCTCTAAATCCAGGGGACAGATCTTTCCCCTTTACTCCCATGGGAGCAGGATAAAAATCCGTACCAGAACCGCAGTGATTTGAAACATTGCATGTGAAACAATATCCCTCATGATGAGAAATGCCCGGCACCCTACATTCCCTGGCACTTTGAGGTATCCAGGTTGTAGCCGTATTAGTGTAGAGGCGAAAGCAATCAGGACTTTTGGTAGCGGTGATATCTTTTATTAGACCAACTAGATGTTTGCAAGAAAAAAAATTATTTGCAAAAATAAGAATTTTTTTTGCAAACATCTAGTTGATCTAATAAAAGATATCACCTGTACCGCGAGTCCTGGTTGCTTTTGGTACTTTTGAAGTACTTTACTGAAATTTAAGATTAAATTTCCTTTGAAAGAATTCAATTCTGGATATTGTCATTTTGTTTCCTATTCCTGTTACAGAGTTGAATTAAGTACACAAGGGCATCAGCTCAGCACCGACATGTGTATTGCATAGGCTAGGGATCCAGTTATTTTCTTTGGGTGCTAACGCTTAACTTAATTAAAAGTCCGGTGAGATTAAGTTGGCCTGTTTACTTACATTACATTCCTCTTGTAGATCCTCTTGTAGATCCCAATTTTTCCGACCCATCTGGGTAGGCAGGAGCGAGAACCCTCACTCCTGCCTATCCAGATGGGTCGGGGAAAAAAAATCATTCCCCTAAAATAAAATGTTAGGGTCAGGCCCCAGCGGGACAGGAGTTGCCCCTTCTTTCCCATCTGCCTGCGTGTCAACATAGCACAAAGATCGGTGGGTGTTGCTTTCAATGGGAGCCAGTCACCAGCAGAACTAAAGGGTTAATAAGCTGATCCTCCCAAAGGTGTAAAAACTGCCCCCCCCCCCCCCCCCCCCCAGGAGTGCGTCTTCCTTGGGACATAGGAAGTGTCATTATTTCTCTGCAGAGTTTCATTTGTAGGCAATTTTGTTTCAGGCCGTCTGAAATCGGCTCTTTTCTCTGCTGAAATGTCAAACCAGCGGTGATTATAAACAGCAGCGTTTGCAAATCTTAACCGAGCACCTGAGAGTTTTAAATATACACCTTGTACCGATGGGTTTTTTCTACACTTGGCCTTGTATTTAAACAAATACACACACACACAAACGAATTAAAGAAAATGTGGGGGCACAAAATAGAGATGATATTTATTCTGGTTTAATCATCCAAATACTTGTTAGCGGTAAAATATTTTGAGGCCAAATCAGTTTAGGCCCTGAGCCAAAACCCACTGAAGATGATTAAAGGGCTGACTCCGAGGCCATTAGAAGGGGTTCAAAGCAAAAAGAGAAGGTATTGAAGACACTTGAGTGACCAGCTAAACAAGCAGTAGTTTGTCAGTAACTTTTATTTTCTTTTTTTTTTTTAAATGGCATGACAAACTGGAACCAAGACCAAAGTACTGTACCCACTGTACATCATTCATTATAAAACAAACATACACCATAGTTGTAGTCTACCGAACAAAGAGTGCGTTTTCTTTAAAATGATACAGCGCGTGCTTGTTTGAGATCCATGCTCTCTACAGTTATCTTACACGTGTGGCTCAGATAGGAACCTCTTATAAATAATTGCCACTGGATCAAACGGGGGGTGCCTGCCTCAGGCCGCGCGGAGCTGGGCGGGGGTCCTGTGCCTCGCCCCGGGGCGGCCCGAAGCCATTGCACGTCTGCAGCACCGGGGCCGTTGTTCATACCGAGAGGTCGGAAGGCAAGTCACGAGCGACGGGAACAAAAAGAAATGACATAGAAAAGAAGTGTTTCCAAAAGGCACGATCTCCTCCACACAAAGGTAACGATATTAAAAGAGAGAGAGAGAGAGAGAGAAAGGGGGAGGGAGGGAGGTGGCCACTCCAATACCACCGGAGCTTGCCCCGCCTGGAGTCGTTCCATCCAGGGAGAGCGGTGGATAGAAGCAAGCGCGCACTTCT